GGGAAGAATACACAAACTCAGTGCAGATAACATCTTCATGGTGAGATTGCTAACCACTTGGCAACATTGCTCCCTTCCAGTTACATTATGTTATCACAAATGTTGTTTTCCCAACTTATAAACTGTTAATGGTTTCACAAAAAAAAAAAGTACAAAACACAGTAGTTACATACAATAAAACCCCAGGCATGCATTACATGTTGTCATATAAAAAATAAAAATGAACATTCTCCATTAAAAAAGTAGTTCTAGAATAAATGGTAGGAATTGGTGCCATGTAGTGTGCTCATTAATGGTGGATATGATGCATAGAGGGAGAATCCAACAAAGGAGACCGATAAAATGAAATCACATTCAAAAATGAGGAGGCTAATTATCAATTTCTCAAAAGCCGGTAATACTAGTTCTCAAAAATATGGCTTGATATTTTATTGCACGTTAATTGCTTAATCATATTGATCATAGTGCAGGAAGGTTCTCTCATGTGTTCCCTATGCTAGAAACACACAAGGAAGGATTCCTGTGCTTTGCAGTGGCCAAGGCAGCTTTCCTGATCCAACTTAGTAGAATCATCTGACTTCACATCTACACTGGGTATGCATTGCTAACCATAGGGATTGATTTACTAAAGAAAAATAGGCTGTTCACTTCAAAAAGCAACTTGCACTTTGAAAGTGAATTTTCCCCAGAGATTAGTGAATGAGGTAAAGCTCTGCTGATTCCATCATCCCCATCATCCCAGAGTGAACAGCCTTTTTGCCTTTATTATCCACCCCAAATTGTTGATGCAGGCAGCAGTAAATAGGGGGGTTATCAAAGGGAAAAGCACACAGTGGGCAAATAAAAGGCGTCTAAGTCCAACATTTGCAATTCCCAATTTAACTATGCCTCTGCTAATATAGTGTTTTTGAATAGGCAATTTATTTGTTGGTGGCACATTGCATAGAGACAGCGGTTTTATGAGAACTCTGTCTAAAAACAAAGTTTCTTTCTGGTTCTGGGAGCAACCATACCTATGATTCATGTGTCACATAACTAGTTCTGGGACGGTGAAGTCAAACCCAATCAGAGGGTCAAATGTACTAGAACTACAATATGGTATGTGGGCCAGCGGACAGCATTAAATTAGTTCTGTCTTTGTAAGAACGGTTACACAGTTAAACTTTCAAATGTAAAGCTTAACTGGATGATATTCTGACAAATTTTATGAAGATAGACATATTTAATCTTTTATATTACCACTTTCCTTTTATTGATTTATTCAACTACTCAGCTGATTAGTCCATTATGTGGATTGAAGGAAAGATTAGATAGTTAAGTGAAATGATGTACAACTTGAGAGTAATTAAAATGGGGTGAGCAAGGCAGAAAATTGACTACTGTCTTTTAAAAAACAAGTCAGCCATTTTATTTATGCTGATAGACAAAGAAAAGAGCTTTTATAATGTTGGCCATACACCCACATAATTTCTGGGTCCCTGATTAAGTTAATCTGTACCAATGCATTGGTTAACAATTGGATCATGAACAGAACATCCAAGTTGCTTTTTGTATCTTACCATACAAACTCTGTTGAAGTCATTGGTTAACTATTAGTTAACCACTTGCCGCCCAGCCACTATAGATATACGTCAGCAGGGCTGCACTTGCAGGCAAAACCACGTTTTAAAACGTGTGTTTTGTAAACAAATAGGGGGCGCGCGCAAGGCACGCCGCCGCCCTATCTGTCCCGCCGATCACCACCGCAGATGTGAGTCGCTGGGTCACAGCCGGTCCTTAGCGGCTGTTTCCCGGCGATCGGCAGCAAACAGTGACAGACAGCACAGCTGCAGTAGCTGTGCTGTCTGTCACTTCCCTGTCAGCTTGAGGATGAGCTGATCAAGAAAGAACAGTTTCTCTTTCTCGATCAGCCTTGTCCCGTCCACTACACACCCCCGCCCCCTAGTAAAACACTCCCCTCACTCCTATAACCCTTCCCTGCAAAATAAAGTTAACCCCTTCCTCCCCATTGCCATTAGTACAGTGTCAGTGTTTGTTTTTTTTTTTGCACTAATCACTGTATTAGTGTTTTTGGGGATGTCCAGTGACCCCAAGTCAGTACCCCCCAATGTCAGAATGTCCGCCACAGTCCCGCCATAAGTCACCGGTCGCTGCCATAAGTCCCTGATCGCCGCCATAATTCGCTGATCGTCGCCATTATTAGTATAAAAAAAAACCTAAAAATCCCAGTATCTTTCCCGCCATTTGTAAACGCTATAACTTTCACGTAAACCAATTAATTTACACGTATTGGGGTTTTTTTTAGCAAAGACATGTCGCAGAATGCATTTTGGCAGAAATTTATGACTAAATTTGATTTTTGCATTTTTTTTTTTACTGGACATGTTTTATAGCAAAAAGTCAAAAATATTGTTTTTTTTTCCTCAAAATTGTCTGTCTTTTTTTTTATAGCGCAAAAAATAAAAAAACCGCACAGGCGATCAAATACCACCGAAAGAAAGCTCAATTTGTGGGGAAAAAAGGATGTAAATTTCATTTATGTACCGTATTGCATGACCGCGCAATTGTCCGTTAAACTAGCGCAGCGCTGTATAGCAGAAAAATGGAGTAAAATTGCAGTATTTATACCATAGATTGTAGATGCTATAACTTCCACACAAAGCAATCAATATACACTTATTTGGATTTTTTTTACCAAAAACATGTAGCAGAATACATTTTGGCCTAAATTTATAACCAACTTTGAGTTTACTATATATTTTTTATAGCTGAAAGTAAAAAATATTGTTTTTCTTCAAAATTTTTGGCCTTTTTTTGTTTATAGCGTGAAAAATAAAAAGCGCACAGGTGATCAAATTACACCGAAAGAAAGCTCTATTTGTGTGAAAAAAAGGATGTAAATTTCGTTTGGGTGCAGCATTGCATTACCGCGCAATTATCAGTTGAATTAGTGCAGCACTGAGTAGCAAAAAGAGGCCTGGTCATTAAGGGGGGTAAATCCTCTGGAGCTCAAGTGGTTAAGTATATTGTCATGCCAGCAGCTAAGTGGTTAGCACTTCTGCCTAGCAGCACTAGGGTCGTCAGTTTGAATCCCACCCATGGCACCACCTGCCTGGAGTTTGCATGTTCTCCCTGTGTCTGCGTGGGTTTCCTCTGGGTACTCCAGTTTCCTCCCACCCTTCAAAGACATGCTGGTAGGTTAATTGACTCTTGTCTAAATTGGCCCTAGTATATGTATGAATGTGAGTTAGGGACCTTATATTGTAAGCTCCTTGAGGGCAGGAGCTTACAATATAAGTATATATATATATATAAGTAGATATATAAGATGTAAAGCACTGTGTAAATTGATGGCACTATATAAGGACCTGTAATATAAAATATATCATACAAGTCTAAATTTTGCAAGTTTATACTACCTATTGTCCAGGGCAATTTTGACTTTTCTTCTGCTGTTGGTCTATTGATGTGATAAGAATTTTGTCATTACTTAAAATATGTGTCAGCATTAGCAGTGAACTTCTTTTAATTTGTCCCTTTTAACCTGTTGAGTATACCATTAAAAGTGTAATATTAAATATGATAAATGCAAAAAAAAAAAATCCTGCTAATCCCACGACACATGCACTGCTGTCTTGTTTCCTGTGCACTCTGCAGTGTTGTCATTATCACTATTATTAGGGAGTTGTGTGTTTTAACTACAAAACACCTCTTCACTAGGTTACGAAAATGGGGTGGGGTTTATAGCCCTAACATGCTTACTGCACTCTTTAAGCTTTTTCATCACGTAAAAATGGGAAAAAGGCCTGGACATAAAAAGACAAACATTACATCTAAGGACTGGTAAGCAGCAATAAATGTAAATGTTTGCTCTTGGGTTTAGATGCATTTTAGGTTTTCAAAGTAATACATTTTTTTTCATGACAAACAAGAGGTTTTTCATAATATTGTCTTCTAAAATTATTTTATTTCTCATGCAATCTATAGACAAAAAAATTTAACAAAATGGAAAAATGGACCTTTTTCCAATGTAATTTTTTAAACAACTCTGGTTAAATTAGATAAAGTGTGAATTTGGTTCTATAATTGTCCTGTTTACAATGACACTAAAATTACATTTCTGGTGCCATGGGATTCTCAAAGTTATTTACAAATAAAAAAATATTTTCTTTCACATCTACAACATTTTTTAATTGCAGCTTAACAGAATTAATGGACAAAATGAATGAAAAGTAAAAATGTTAAATAATTAACAGTACATAATAATAGTAATAAAAAAAAAATCAGAGCAAGAAAATAGCTAAGGGAAGAAGGAGATGAATGAGTTTATTATGGTTAACTAAGGGTAATAACAATTTAAATAGGATCAAATTGTATGTTTACCTTCTTTACTTAATTCTTTTATTTGAAAGGTTGCTTTAACTGGCGTCATATGCAGATCACAGGTCATCTCATGATGTGCATATTAAAAAAAACCAGTAAATTCAATTAAACGTTTTTCTGTTTAACCACTAGCCTACTTATACCCCCTTCCTGCCCAGGCCAATTTCCAGCTTTCAGCGCTGTCACACTTTGAATGACAATTGCGCGGTCATGCAACATTGTACCCATATGAAATTTTTATCATTTTTTTGAGACCGATCGAGCTTTCTTTTGGTGGTATTTAATCACCTCTGGGATTTTTATTTTTTCTTAAACAAACAAAAACCACTGAAAATTTAAAAACAAAACATTTTTTCTTAATTTTTGTTATACAATTTTGTAAATAAGTGATTTTTCTCCTTCACTGATGTGCGCTAATGAGGCTGCAGTGATGGGCACTGATAGGCTGCACTGATGGACACTGATAGGTGGCACTGATGAGGAGGCACTGGTAGGTTGCACTGATGGGCATTGACAGGCATCATTGATGGGCACTGAAAGGCAGCAATGATGGGCACTGAAAGGCAGCACTGATACATGACACTGATACATGACACTATTAGGCGGCACTGACTGGCACTGTTAGGTGGCACTGATAGGTAGCACTGACTGGCACTGATAGGTGGCACTGATTGGCAGCACTGATAGGTGGCACTGATTGGCATTGATAGGTGGCACTGACTGGCACTGATGGGTGACATTGAAAGGCAGCTCAGATGGGCACTGATATGTGGCATTGATGTGCACTGGTATGCACTGATATGTGGCATTGATGTGGCACTGATGGGCACTGGCACTGATGAGCACTGACAGGTAGCACTTCTGGGGCCACACTGATCATCAGGGCACACTGATCATCAGTGCCCTGATGATCAGTGTACATGTCCCCTCCGCGGAAAGCCGATTACAGGCTTTCCTCTCCTCTCGAGATGTCAGCGTGACAGCTTGAGAGGAGAGAAATGCTGATAACCGGCATTTCCGTGTTTACATGTGATCAGCTGTGATTGGACACAGCTGATCACATGACCAAGCCGATATCTTCAGCTCTTTCTCTGTGATCCGCTGTGTCCAAGCGACACAATGGACCGGCGAACGCCGCACTGTGCGCTCCCTGAGCCGCACATGCGCAGTGAGAATGGTAGAACATCATATGACGTCCTATCAGAACGAGAGAACCACCTTGCGCCCGTCATTGTACTATAGGGCGGGCAGAAGGTGGTTAAAGCAAGCATTGGCTTTCATTTTGACAGCCAAGATTTTGTGTAATAGTGGCCGGGAAATCATAGCACGTGAAGTGGAACAGGGTGTTTGGTGTACACCCAAGACATTTAATTGATTTTAATTGGAAGCTTCCCCATTCATGTGTGAACCCCTGTTTGAGACCCTGTCAAGTAGAAGTTGTAACTACACCAGAGATAGTTTTCAATATTTTTCTGTATGACTTGATAAAAACTAATCTCCAGGTAAAGTTATCCTTGCAGCGTTCCCCCTCCCTCCCCCCACAAATGAGTCACTATCTAATTTTTAATACAGATAACAGAAAAGGTGGTTTACTTTCCTTATCCCTCACTTTCACAGGCTTGCTCCTGGCTATAGATTAGTCCCCCAAAGTTGCTTCTCTTCACAGCTTTGCCGTTCGTTGGCACTCTGATATCATGTACAGTGTAGGAGCGGCAGCTCTGCATTGTATGGGAGAAAACCTGGAACTTCGAAGGAAGGAGAAAAGGCTGCAGGAAGAGTGAGGGATAAGGCAGGTATAAATGTTTTTAATGTTCACTTTAGACCAATGGTCTCCAAACTGCGGCCAGGGGGCCAGATGCGGCCCTTTGCTTGCTTTTATCCGGGCCTTGGGGCATTATTCCCCCCACTGACAGCAACAGTGGGCCATAGTTCCTGCCACTGACACCAATGATGGGGCACTATTCCCCCCACTGACACCAAGTATGGGGCAATATTACTCCCACTGACACCGACCATGGGACACTATTCCTCCCACTGATACCAATGATGGAGTGCTATTCCTTCCACTGACACCAGTGATGGGGCACTATTCCTCTCACTGATACCAATGATGGGGCACTATTCCTCCCACTGATACCAATGATGGGGCACGATTCCTCCCACTGATACCAATGATGGGGAACTATTCCTCCCACTGATACCAATGATGGGGCACTATTCCTACCACTGATACCAATGATGGGGCACTATTTCTCCCACTGATACTAATGATGGAGCACTATTCCTCCCACTGACACTAATGATGGGGCAATATTACTCCCACTGATATCAATGATGGGACACTATTCCTACCACTGACAGCAACAATGGTGCACTATTCCTGCCACTGACAGCAACGATGGGGCACTATTCCTACCATTCACAACAACAATGGGGCACTATTTCTCTTATCAATACCAATGATGGGGGCACTTTTCCTCCCACTGACACCACTGATGAGGGCACTATTCCTCCCACTAATACTATTCATGGGGCATTGTTTACTCCTAAGCCAGGACATTTTTTACTCTCACTGGCCACAGTCCGGCCCCTCTAAGGTTTGAGGAACAGTAAACTGACCCTTTCTTTAGAAAGTTCAGAGACCACTGCTCTAGACAAAATGAGCAAGGCAATTTTATTTTTCTGAAGTTCAAATTAAATTATATAATTGACTGATGTTTTTTTACATAATAATGCATTTAACTTATTTAGTGTGTACATTTTGAAACTTGGCAAAATAATTATCTTTGACTTATTTGAGTTTACCCAGCTCAGCTCTCATACCAGTACACCTCATATTTCTGCTATGGGCTTAGATAAAAATGAATACATATTTTTTTTGTAATAAAAACAAGGCTTTCTTTTGGTAATATTATCTTGCAACAATAATGTTTTGTGATGCTATCCATAAACAACATTCGTATTAAAATGTTAAGAAAAAAAACTTTTTATTTTTACTTGGATGAATGTTGTTTAAAATGATTTTTCCATAAAAAATATAAATTTTATTCTATAATTTGCCCTGTATAAAATGACACAAGAATTATAAGACTGATGAAAAGCGTTTAAAAATATTTATAATGAAATACTATAAATGCATTTTTTTTTTTAAATTTTTCATTTGTTTTCTTAAAGTGTTACTAAACCCAGGACCCTGAATTCACTATATCTGGTCTCCCACAGTACACACAACATGGAAATCCATTTATTTTAGTAAATATAAACTGCTTATTATATTTTCTCAACAGCAGTTAGAGCAGTCTTGTTATTTGTGTCCAGCAGAGCACTGGTTAAAGCTTGTAGGAAGAGTTTTCATTCTGCCCTGGTTGTCCTGTGGGACTGCAAGACCCCTGACCCTCTCTCTGGACAACACTGATTGGCCATGCTGTGCTGATCACATGCACTCTCCCACAAAATAAAAAACTCTCTAGCAATACACACCAAACTGAGCAGCTTGCTTCCAAGGCTCTGTTCTATCAGCAGATGGATCGGGCACTGTAAAAGAAGGGGATGATCAGAGAAGACAGGATCAAACAGCCTTTTTACACAATGCAGAGGATTAACCCCTTAGGTTACACAGTCAGTATAACAAGCATGTTTTACTGCATATACAGACTGATTTTACTTATGTGGGTTTAGTAACACTTTAATGCCACACTAAAAAAAAAATAACAAATTGAATTTAATTATAAATAGACTTGACTTATAATGGTTAGAAAAAACATTACAACCATAAACAAAACAAAAAGAAATCATCACGGGAGTAGTTAAGGGGAAGGAGAAGTTAATTAGGGCTAAATATAGCGAGACAGAGACAGAGAATATCCGTTTTTTGTAATTAAATTTCTTTTTTTCATATACCAATGTGGCTTTTGTTTATCCTTTTGTATTTTTCAGCTGTGCTTTTACATATGTGGTGACTAATGTGCAGTTGTTGATCTCTCAGTTTCAAGAGGATCTGTCATGAATGACAAAGCTGTCTGAGAAGCTTCTACCCCCTTGTAGTTGTTGCCTTTGTCTGATACATCAGTATACCAGTGTTAATTCAAATGGTGTCAATTGCAGCGAGGGTAAATTGGTTCAGCCTCATTGCCACAAAACTAGTATCAGACCTTGGAGTTAAAACGTGGCCATTATGTTGATATGGAAGTTGTATTTGACATTAGGTCTTGTCATAGGTCATGAGAGGGTCCCCTTATCGTGTAAACCAATGTTTTGGCTCATTTCAGGTGTGTGATAACTTATGTGAAACTTTAATATAAAATGTGAGTTTTACTAGCAAAAATGTTTGGAAAAAGCATATGAAATATGAAAACCATCCAAGGAAAGCCCACTGGATACCAAAAATGTTCAACTTGGACACCGTTCAGCAACACTTAGTCACTTAACGCTAAGCCAAGATGTATGCTTGAGACAGTGTTGCTACGTACATTTTGCTGAAAATTTTACATTTTTGGTTTCCAGTGGATGAGTGGATCACTCCTTGGATGGTTTTATATTTCCTGTTGTTTTACCTAGCACTTTTGTGAGTATAAAACATATTTTATAAAAAAAATATTTAGAATATAACATAAGGCACCCTTCCTATCAGTTTTATAGGGAATAAAAATTAGTGCCATGCATCATTACTTATGTTGTCTCCACATGTGCTTGCACAAGCTCTTGAAGTATCATTGTATTGAAAGTGGTACATTATGTCTGTATGTGTTTTTCACAGTAAGTGTCACATAGATTTAGACCAATCTTGCAGGCAGAAAATGAAAATAATGAAACATATATACAATTACTGCAGTTGATTAATTCTTTTTTATGGGGAAATTGAAAAAAACGTAAAATGTATAGGCCATCTCTTTTATGAACTTCCCAATGAGACCTTTTTTACAGGAATGTCAATAGAAGCTACAAAATGTCTGGATTATCATCTTGGATTTAATGCCAAATGGCACCATTGCCACCTATAATATTGACAATCGTTACATCTTCTTTATTCATTTCAATGTAATTAATATTATATAGTGTTTTTTTATGGCTAAACATTGACTATAGGCTTTATAATAATATCAATAGCTGTCTGCCAAGAGAATTTGCTCCTAATGTGCCAAACTATAGGCACGTACGAATGTCCTTACTGGTGAATAGTATATTTAATTCACTTGAGTCAGTTCTCAATGTTTCATGTTTCTGCCTCTATGAGCAGCTATCAGCTGCCTGGACATCTTTATAAACTGCACAAGGTGCCTTACCTGAGAAACCATCGAACGATTAGTGAAGGAAAGATGGCCTCCGCTCATCTCTATGCCCTTGGGGGACCGGAGTGATGTCACGTCCAGTTGCGGCCATTTTTTTCTAAAGCACTAGATCAATGCTTTTTTGTGATCCAGTGCTTTACATTGCAGAGGAGAGATGTGCGGTCCTATTGACCACATATCTCTCCATAATGAGGACCTGTCACTTATTATTTTATCACAAGGGATGCCTTCATTTCCTGTGATAAGAATAAAAGTGATTAAAATTTTTTTCAAAGGGACAGTGCGAAAAAAAACAAAAAAAAAATTAAATACATTTTTGAAAAAAAAGTTTAAAGTGCCCCTGTGCTCGCACGTAGTGGTGAACGCATACGTAGGCCATGTATGGCCACATATGTAAATGGTGTTCAAACCGCACACATGAGGTATCGCTATGAACATCAGAGCAAGAGCAATAATTCTCGCACTAGTCCTCCTCTGTAATTTTACACTGCTAACCTGTAGAAATGTTTAAAGCATCACTCATGGAGGTTTTTAAGTACCGCAGTTTCACGCCATTCCACGAGCGTGTGCAATTTTAAAGTGTGACATGTTGGGTATCTATTTACTCACCGTAACATCCTCTTTCATATTTTACAAAAAATGTGGGTGTATATTGTGTTTTCTTTGTTTTTTTTTTTTATAAAACTGCCCCTAAACTCTGCTGCTCCTAAACCGTAGCAAATGCCTATGTGTAAATGGACACAGGCTTTTATTGAGTTGAGCTCAGGGGCTTTGGCAA